TAGGAAAAATTCTTAAAATTGAACAGGAACCAATCTGATTTATACACCATTAGATGTAACTTTTCAAGCTCTACAAAACCCTGTATTTTGTTTTTCGAAATGAATAAGTTGAGAAATCCGGCAGGGTCCTTTCCAACAATTGAATTAGGTACTATTCTATTTTCGAATTCGCATGAAAGTTGGTCGACATGTACGCAAACTAATGTTGATCATACATCATATGGTATATTAATATGTAATAGTTTCATCTAGATATACAATAAATTTTTTAGACAACGTATCTAAAGAAACCATTCATATGAACAACAGTGTTCAAATAGTTGATGGTATATTTTCTATAAATATTATAGATTATTCTGCATGATGTTTTCTATTAGATATAGTACAATTGAATAGTAACTTGATAGATTCACAACAAATTTGTAATTCTATTTCGAATATTGTAAAAGAACCAACATCTTTAATCAATAACATCTCGTCACAATCAACTATAATTAATCTTATCGATGAAGACACATCAAATGTTCACATAGAATATAATTATACACAGTTGAATCAAATTAAATCCAATCCAATAATAGATTCAATTAATTCCTCATATATTACTCAAACTCATACTTCTTCGATAAAGAATCAATCCTTCAATAAATGCAATGGTAAATTATGTTCTAAATTTAAGAATAAATCAATATTTTTTTTAATAAAAAAACCTACTAAATTACTTTTCGTTGGAACCATAGATAACCAACTTTCATTTTAATCTTCAAGTTTTATAAAATTTTCTTGAACACTACGAGGCCTTTGCCAATAGTTGTTTAACACATATTAAAATACAATGAAATTGCAGACTCGCATGAAGCCATAAAATTGTCTATTCCACATGATGCTCAATTAAACAAGATATTGAAGCTTTATAGTATGAAAAAAGCAGATTTACGACAAATCAATCGACCACATTAAAAAACATTTTCACAAACTAATTTGACTTATAAGTACCGTCCACTTTTTTGATAAGTTGTAGTTCTTGAAGACGTTACAACTGATGAAACGTATACTTTTATCATAGAGAGAGAACTACTAATAAGGAGATATGTGTTTGAGGAAAAATAATTCGGACTGGATTTGGCAAGTTTTTGGAACATACTAGGTTTCTACGAAGCTGCTTCTTGATATGCCGTAATACGTATCAAACTTTATTGGATACGACTGAAATTCTTTTGTAGATATCTAAGACTGTTTCTCAGAATTAAATTGAAGTTTTTTCAAAAATCTGATTTTTTTGTTTCTCATACAATCACATCACGGTTCACATTCAAAAAGGAACTTGTCGTTTTAAAGAGGTTCTAAGCGCAGATAGGCAAATGAAAAATGAAAATGCAGGATTTTACCTTTGAAGAATACTTCCAAACATGACTTATGAAAAATCTAGTCTAAGTCAACGATATTTGACAAAGATCGTAGTATAATAGAAAGCGGTTTTATAAAAACTCTACCATTCTTCTAAAAGCTCGCAAAGTCTACTTCAAGTTTTTTTTTTCCTCAAGGATGCAACTTCTAAGTTTTAGTACTCTATCTATTATGATAATTTTAGCCTTATCAGTAGTAATATCTTCAAGAATCATAAGCTGTAAAAAAAAAGTAGTTCCTTTAATCTGTATTTTTTTAAAAATCTTTTATGTAGTAAAAATTAAATAAAATTTTATTTAAGAAAAATATAAAACTAAAGTCATTCCAAAATTTACACTAAATAATCCAATAAATCATTCGATTACTTTCAATACTTAATCTAACAATATTTTTATTAATTTAGTTTTTCTCTAGTTGCAAGTCCATTAAAAATATTTAGTATAATAAATTATTTAGAGAATACTAATGCAGAACCGACGTCATCCAATATTCAAGATAATGAAACACTTTGCTTTCGTCCTATTCAAAGCAGCAAACGAAAAAAAAATTCAAATGAAACCGTGAAAACAAAACGAAATAATAAAAAACAATGAATAAAAAATGTCAACGTTCATCGAAAATTTGTATCTCTATAATGTTACGTGATTGTCATTAGTCATACTATGTGTTCTATCCATTACAAACATTCTTTCCTTTAGTTCAATATATTACAAGAATATAATAAAATTAAAGAATGAATTAAAAATAAAGGACACGTTACTTTATTCTAGTATTAATCTTTTTTTTCAATAGTTCATACAACGTTAGCAGACACTCCCAAATTTTGCGAGCATAGCATATATTGCAAAAAATTATTTTTCCCTCGTATTACCCAATAGTTCTTTCGTATTCCAAAAGAAATTTAGATTCTTCTGTTAAAAATAATGATACTCCTCTCGTCCTCCAAATTGATTGCCTTGAAACAAATACACTAAGGCTAATGACAGCTGAACCACTATCAATATTCCTTACTCACTTTCACGAATTTTGTTAATATTCGCCATTAGCTTCCATCTTAATTTATTAAATCGATCATATAATAATAAATTCTCTACTGATATAATTTCATTCCATAGTAAATTATGGATTTCAGCTGTTTTTCAAAAAAAAAATTTCTGACAAAGTTTAAAACCATAAATTTTTGAAAATATCCTTCGACATATTCGATGTGCTTTTTAATACGACTATTCTCACGGTCAGATTATTCCACTTTATCAATTCCACTAGTTTGGATTATTAACGTTGCTACGCCTTCTCATAACGACATATAATATCAATGAAAAACATGAGGCAATGAAACATTTTCAATACTGCTAAAAGATAGTCAATTTTCAATATTAGCTATGATAAAAAAGTTTCGTTATAACTTTTGTCATTGCTCAAAGAATCGCAACGTATTGAAAAGTGCTTTATTATAAAGTGCTACAAATTGAAGCTGCTCTCATTTTTAGAATATCTATATTTCCAGAATGATCCATCTTTTTGAGATGAAAACTGCAATTCATTTCTAACTCAAAGATACCTTTCTCGTATGAGAGTATTATTAAAAATACATGAACTCAACTATACACCATAGTCACGAGACAAGCGAAATCTTTTCTATGAAGGTGTCAGTAAGTGGTCAAGGTTGAAGTCTATCGCTTCGACTTTCTCCCAATGTGCTTTTGTCCAAGCATCAACAGATGCCACTCCGCAAGACATCTGAAGGAAATTTTTTTAACAACGAAATAGTGTAAACTGAATCAAACAACAAAATGATGCTATTCAATTTCAATCACTTACGTTAATCTTCGAACATAGATTCCAATTAAAATCAATATGACTGATAAATTATCACAGAAGCAAAATCATTCTTTATAGCAGACAAAAACGAAAAAATGAAAACTATAAGAATGATCCTTTTGCTTATGACACTAATCATCACAGAATTATTATTTTCACTAAAATTTACTAGTTTACCAGACTTCACAATTTTGAATGATTGATTGACTCTGCTTCATGAAATATTTACCCCAGCGCAATAAAATATATAACGCTACACCTTGAATAAAGACTATCAATGTGTATTCCTCGAACAACTGTAAGAAATATCTTTTTACTTATTCAATAAAACTGCTCAAATATGCTTTTACAACTTCGTACTCACAAAAACATTTTCATCAAAAATTCGAAGAGAAAATGCAATTTTAAAACAGCTCTCCTCCGGATATGTGGTTCCGCCCAACACTCCTCTCATTCCTCTTCGGTGTACTCAGAATATCGCTGAACCACGCTTAGCCCATCAGTCTCCAATATCCTTCAGGTGATTCCCTACATATAACATCTCTGACTTAATCAATAAGAAAAACAAACTAATAATTCGAATTTTACTAATCATTAACATCCTACCATCTATCCACATTTGAACCGAAAATTCACAATATCCATAACAAATATACTCTTTAGTAACCATTTTCATTTAAGTATTTGTTTACCCATGATTAACTAACAAAAATCACCATACATATCGAATTTAACACTTCTTTACTAATACTAAAAAGCCAATCAATCATTCAATGTTCCCATGTCGCGCTGCTTGAAAAAATTTCAAATGTACAATAATACACATAACTAATTTGCTATAGATTTCGATTCAACCAATCATTCAATGTTCCCATGTCCCACTGCTCGAAAGAATTCTAATATAGAATAATACAAATAACTAATTTGCTATAGATTTCGTCTCAACCAATCATTCAATGTCCCCATGCCCCCAACATCAAAAACAAATTGAACTATAATTCATACCAATCTAGCGAGAAATTGTTTTATATCAAATCATCTTCCGGCATTATTACGTTTAAAAACTTCACTGAAATCAATACTATGACTAATCTATACAATCATACACGAAAACAATAAATAAAAACAGGAATAACTATTTATCAACCAAATAAAAAAATAAATCTATTGTCATTATGCAAGAAATAACAATAAACATGAACTTCGTAAGAAACAAACAAATTATCTTGCATGCATGATAACAAAATCTATAAACAAACAATAAACTAAACGATTCCAATCTCAACTGCAACATATATACTAGATAGAGCAAGTGTTCCTCTACAACTCTACATATATTCCATTGTGTAGTCAACCCTTATAGTCGCCTTTATTTGTTGACACTTAAATGTTTTGTATTATTTGAATATTTTTATTAAATTAAGAAAGAACTATTTGACATATAAGAACTTTTCATAGAAGATGATCATCATCATCATCATTCAGGAACCATTTGCCGTCCACTGTTGGACGAAGGTCTCGCCCATGTATTTCCATTTATCTCTATTTTGTGCCATAGTGCTCCAGCCATTTCCTACGAATGAATGAATTTCATCTCTCCATCTCGTGGATTGTCTTCCAGGTTTTCTTTTCCCGTCCATTATTTGCCATTCTGTGGTGAGCTTGGTCCATCTATTATCTTGTTGCCTAGCAACATGTCCTGCCCATCTCCACTTGTTTCTTTTTATTGTTCTTGTTATGTCGATAACTTTTGTTTGTTTTCTGATGTGTTCGTTTCTAATTTTATCGATTTTTCTTATGTTCAGCATACTTCTTTCCATTCCTCGTTGATTGATTGCAAGTTTTTTCTCTAATCTTTGTGTCATGTTCCATGTCTCTGATCCATATGTCATTACTGGAAGTATGCATTGGTCGAATGCTTTCTTTTTTAGACACAGAGGAATGTCCGCTTTGAATATTTTGTTCAACTTTCCAAACTGTCTCCAACCTTGTGATATTCTTCTGTTTATTTCTATTTCAATATTTCTATTTGTTTCTATCATTTGACCCAAATAGACGAAATTGTTGATTTTCTCAATCTCTTGGTTGTTTAGTTGAATTTTTCTATCGTCTTTTATATGATTATTGATCATGATTTTTGTTTTACCGATGTTGATGTTTAGGCCGGATTTTATACTTTCCTTTCGAAGTTCTTCCATCATCGTTTGTAAGGTTTCCAAGTTGTTTGCGAAGAGAACAATGTCATCAGCAAATTTTAGGTTATTTAGGTATTCTCCACATATTTTAATCCCCTTTCCTTCCCAGTTTAGTCGTCTGAATATATCTTCGAGACATGTAATGAAAAGGATTGGAGACATCGTATCGCCTTGTCTTATTCCTCTATTTATGTTTATATCGATTTTGATATTATGAAGATTTATAGAAGTCTTAGCATTATCGTATATGTATTTAATTAGATCAATGTACTGCCTGTCGATGTGTTGATTTTCTAAGGCTTCAATGATCGCTGGTTTTTCTAGAGTGTCAAATGCCTTTTCAAAGTCGATGAATGCCATGCATAGTGGTAGATTGAATTCTTTTGTTTTTTCTAGGATTTGATTTAGCGTGTGAATATGATCTATTGTAGAGAAGCCTTTTTTAAATCCTGCTTGTTCTCTATCTTCTACCTTTTCTAATTTTATCTTTAACCTGTTGGTTAAGATTTTGGTAAATAGTTTATAGAGATGCGAGAGGAGACTAATTGGTCTATAGTTTTTTAGATCAGTGCGTTCTCCTTTTTTGTATATGAGGATGGTATTTGCATTATTCCATTCTTGTGGTATTTTCTTTTCTTTTAAGCATTTGTTAAAAAGTACTTGAATAATTTTTAGAACAGTTATTCCTCCATTTTTTATCATGTCAGTAGTTATACTGTCTGGACCTGGAGTCTTATTATTGGACATTGATTTAAGTGCCATTTCTATTTCTCCTAATATTATATTAGGGACATCATCTTCATGATCATAGTTATTTTGTGGTTTGTTTATCTTGATTGTTGTTTTTGTGTCGTATAGGTCTTCATAGAATTCTTTGATTCTATTATTCATTTGATGTCTGTCATATAGGATATTTCCATTTTTATCTTTTAAGGAAATTATTTGATTTTGCCCAGGTGACATGTTTTTGAAAGTTCTTTTTAGGCTT